GCACAAGGCTTCGGCAGATGATGATGGTGAAGAGGGAGGGGGGGGGGTGGGGGATGATGATGGTGAAGAAGCAGGGAGGGGCGGGGGGGGGGGGGTTGCTGATAGCGAGGAGGCGGTTGGTGATTGCGAAGAGGGGGTGATGCGAATGGTCCGCCTTCCGATGGGGTTGGGGGACGAACGGGGGCTGCTGTGTCGGCACGCAACCAAGCAGAAGTGATTGTTGATACTGAGCATACCATACAGACCGAAGTCGAAGGACTAGTACGATACACCACAGATGGAGATCCTGTGTTCAGTGAATTTTCAATCAAGGATATTATTGAGCAATCACAAGGACACCAGGAGACCGTGCGCTATGCGTACAAGGAGGCCCAGAAATTTCAACCTTGAAAAACTCCTCATGATAGCAAATCAAAATCTCATAGAAAATTTCCAAAACCGGTGTCAAAAAGGACAGCTACTGCAAGTGCCTTCAGTTGGAGAGAAACTGACACCAACATGCACATAATGTGAAGCCCCAAAGCCATGCCAGGCACAAAGAATAGCGAAGGAAAACGGATGAGTACTAACGTGCCGGCAGGAAGCCGCAGCTCGGGCTGTCATATCAGTCCCATGCGCGGTGCTGCCACATCCCACATCTGCCGGCTGCTGTCCTATGCGGGGCGTAGTGAGGAGTAAACACCACGCGCATGGGGCTGCTCATGGGACCGATATGACAGCTCACCGCATCATCACCGCATCACCATCACCAACACCACCATCACCGCGTGGTGGGATGTAATAAATGAAATGGGTGGCCTTACAGCACCTGTGCAGGTGGCTGCTTATCAGTCAGGCAATGTTCGGGTTCTGTAGGCTAATTTGCAGCACGGGCTGAATGATTTCAATTGCCGATGACTTGTTCAGGGGCTTGGTGATGCCTCGAATGTATTTACAGCAAAAAACGCTATGCATGCATTTATCATTCGTCTCTCATAGTAAGAAGACCAGGTCATCTTGACGAGGAATCCATGGCGGGATACATATATATACATACACATATATGCACATATATGTATATATATGTATATATATAATATATATATACACATATATGTATATTATATATATATATATATATACGGTTGGCTTATACATCGTGACATATCGACCTTTTTCTTATCAAAAACAGATGTTCTGTTACTTTTTACTCGTTGTTCGACTTGCAACGTGTTTCACCAAATACAAATAGAAATGGGAGGAAGGGGGGGGGGGGTGGCACGTGCCATGCCTCCTCTCCCACACTATTCAAACATGTTGGCTGACCCCACCCACCTTTTTCATCGTTTAATCTGCGTTAAGTTAACTTTTGTGGTGCCATAAATATGTATGCCCAATTGGCTTTTTCACTAGCCATCAAATATCGCTTGATCACGCTGCTGCACGCGGCAAATAGCAGTATATTTTAGGACATGTAGGGCGATATGCGAATATTGCGGGCAAATTTCAGGCTACCTCAGTACCAAAGCTCCACTCCGTCTTTCTAAAAAGCCTTGATTCTTTTACCTGCCTACTTACAGGCTACTCAGTTCGTATGGGTTCGTGAAGTTGAAGATGAATATCTCAATATGACATTTTGGTTATATGTTAATGTATGCAAAATCAGAGCTTTTATACAATGCCAGCGTTTTCGCATGGCGTTCACAGAACTACCGCTACGACGCTATTTTGGTTTAAACATTTAGACACTGCTTGAAATAACATCAGTGTCTTCGTTTTCGTTTTCGTTTTCGGTCGCCGGCCAATTAAAAACGTCATTGGCCCTGACTGTTACGTCATTTTTAGGCGTTTTATGCAACACCGAAAAAACATCAGGCGCTTCGAGCAAGGCTGGACTAAACCGAGTGTACATTGGAATAAAACACACATGATCAACTGCATGCCAGGATATTTTAAACATAAAAAACAAAATGTACGGCGAGTTGACGACCTTTAGCCATCTACGGATTGTTCTAGCCATCTACGGCTGTAGATAACCCGCAGACATCTTGAGGCCATAAGCCCGCTGTGCATTTTGGCTTATCTTAAAGTTTAGAACATAATCATTGGTTTGCAGCCAATTATACATGCTCTTTTTGCAACAACAACACTTATGCCAGAAGTCCTTCGCATAGTAAAAACCTGGTTTAGATGATGTTGTGAACACGTTTTATGCTTATAATTTGATTAAACCCACAGTGCTGCTCATTATAATTTCAACGCATGGATATGATGACTTGCACTGTTTTCCCATCGTCAGCCGCATGATACTCAACAGTTTCACATCCGCAGTTTATCTAGAGCTAGTCTTCTGGGGTCGGCACGGGCCAGGTGCTGGTAACCGCCGCGGTCAACACCGACGATCAGAAAGCCGCGAGTTCACGGTAGGTATTTCTGAGCGGTTCTGCCAGGGACAGGGGCTCAGCAGGTGCGCTTGTCGGGCGG